CCCAGGAAGTCTGTTTATGGCTGGCTGTCAGCCCAGAGGGCGGCGGGGGGGTTCACCTGGCTCTCAACCCCCTACTCTAACCCGCTAGACCCCACTCTCCTTCAGCAGCTGGTGCCTCTAGGTCTCAGTCCCACCCAGCCAGCCAGCAGGAAGCAGCGCTGGCTGTTCTACTAGAAGCCCTTTGTTGTGCAATAGCCTGTGGGACTCCCTGCCACTGGAATTCCCTGAGGGCAGGAATATAGCAACTCTCCTAACGGATGGTGCCACGTGCGCAGGAGGCTTTCTTGCTTCCTGATCAGGTTTCCTTCACTGGCGCTGCTGGATGCCAGCAATTCCTAGTTCTGGTGTCTCCCTCCCGGTGACAGGCGGGCCAAGCGATCCCCATGAGTTCATCAGGGCTCCTGATTTCTGTCTCCAGCTCTAGGAGGGGCATGGGGTTTAGTGGTTAGAGTAAGGGGGTTTGGAGTTAGGATTTTTTTCCCAGCTCTCAGAAGGGGACTGGGATCTCATGGCTAGGATGGGAGTCAGGACTTGGGTTCTGTTCCTGTCTGTGGCAGGGGAGTGGGGTCTAGTGGTTAGAGCGGGGAGGGCTGATGCTTGTCAGTTTGTCTCTGCTGTCAGACCCAGCGTGCCGTGGGGCAGTTCCTTGGCCCATCAGTTTGGTTCTCGTGCCAAGAGTTTTGGAGCCGAGTTTCCACTGGGCTCTACTGTTTGCTGGCGCTTCCTGTGACTCTTCCCCGTGTGCAGCGGGAGGGGCAGAGGAGACATCCCATGATGATCACAGGGTGGGGAAGGGGCCCGGAGGCCATGGGCCTGTGTCACTGTGAGAATGGGGCAGCGGTGCTTGGCTGGGGGAGCAGGAAACAGGAGGTGCTGATGGGCTTGTGGAACTAGCCGGAACCAGCCACGTGAGGTGAAATTTCCACCTTGGCCGCAGGGCAGAATCGTGGGGCAATCCCGGGCTGGGTCAGGAGCCGACGGGACCCCTGCTGTTGTGGCACCACATGCGTGCTGTACGCAAGAGGGGAAGGAGAGTTCTTCCTGTTTGATGGGTGGGGAAACTGAGGCACAGACTGGGGAGTGACTGGGCCTCGCCCAGCTTCCCTCCCTTCCCTGTCCACCCATCGCTCTCCCACGTTGTGCCCCACGCCAGCACTGCTGGATATCCCGAGCCTTCACCAAGGGGTGTTCCCCCCAAGCAACAGGAGCCGACCCCCAGGGCTAGCGCTGCAGCGCCCTGACCTGCGCTCGTTAGCTGGGCGGATGCCGTGCCTGGGTGTGGGCCAGGTTCTGTCTCCTGTTGGTCCAAGCCTGGCTTCACGCCCGTCTTCCAGCTGGCTCCGTGCCCATTCTGGGCACAATCTCCATGCAGCGCCTGGCCGCCAGGGTCCTGCTGGCTGTCAGGGAGCCATTGTCTGGCCACGCAGCCTGCTGGCAGCTGGTTGGAGCCGAGTCCGTGGAACAGAACCCATTACTGCCCCAGCCAGCCCCCGGCCCCGGGGACGGAGAGGTGCTGGCACTCCCTAGAGGGGGAAGGGCCCCATTCCCCCACCCCACCTCCCAGACAGGCAGTCCCCCTCCCTGGGGTTGGATGGGAGACAGCATCCTCTAGAGGAGAAAGGTCTCATTCCCCAGCCCCCCAACCCTAAGTCAGTCAGTCCCCCGCCCGCTGGGCCAGGTAGGAGACGGTGCCCCCGAGGGGAGAGGCCCATTCTCCACCCACTCCAGCCAGCCAGCCCCCGCCCTGAGGACGGATCCGGGTGCGGGGTTGGTGCGGCCGGGGCCCTGACTGGCTCCGCCGTGTGGAGTGGTGCCAAGGGCCATTTTGTTGTTGGCACAACTCCATGCTCCTGACGTCAGGTCTGCGCACGGCCAGCACTTGTGTAAATGCCACAGTAGTGCCGGTGCACGGGGGAGTCAGCTGTGCTCCCTGGAGGTCACCTGGGGGCTAGTGAGTTAGGATGGAGGGGCATTGGGAACCTGGACTGCTGGGTTCTTTTTCTGGCTCTGGGAGGGGAGTGTAATCTCCTCCCCCCCCTCCTCCCTCCCCTTCCCCCCCCAGCTTCAACCACTAGGAGGCATGTAAATGAGTAGTCGACTATCCCATAAGCAAAGGCTTATCAGATAGTCAACTAATCCCTCAACTAGTCACTTCCCAGAGGCAGCAAGGGGGTGAGCAGGAGCTGGTGCCAGGGTGCAACGTCTCCGCGGGGGGCAGGGAAATAGAGGGGACCAGGTGTGAGCCGGAAATGAGCTGTATAGTACATTTAAAAGGCTGATGCATAGCGGTGGGGACCCAGCGTGAGCCGGGAATCAGCTGGCCCAGCTCACACCGGGTCCCCCTCCGCTGTACACCAGACTTTTAAATGTAGTAAGAGCCGGCGAGCTCTTAATACATTTAAAAGGCAAAGCCACATCGGGATTAGCTCCCAGGGTCGGGAGCTAACCCCAGTGTGGCTCCCCCACTTATCGACTAATTGACTAGTCGATTAGTTAATTTACATGCCTACTGTGGGGGCTGGGAATCAGGACTCCTGGGTTCTTTTCCTGGCTCTGGGAGGGGACTGGTGTCTAGTGGTTAGAGCTTTGTGAGTCGGGACCCAGAGGCTCTGCATCTCGCCCACCCGTTCCTTCCCTGCAAGCTTGCATTCCTTGCTGGGGTGGAGCCAGCTGGTGGAGGAGAGTGTTGAGGTCTCACACGGGAGGGGTGTTGCCATGTTTCAGCTTGAGGTTTCGTTGGCATTTGCCTGCCGAGCAATGTGGGGCTAGTTGCTTACTCGGTAGAGCAGCCCTGGACTTGGGTCCCTCCATACGTTGCTCTTCCCAAACCGCAGTGGAGAACAGAGAAAGGCTGGGCTGTCGCAGGGTGGGCACGCTCGTCCTGTACCGCCCCTGTAAATCCACGCCCAGCTGTGTGAGCTAAAGGGATCTCCTGTTCCTGTCCTACATGGCTGTTCCCCAGCTGACCCGCCCCAGAAGTGAGCTAACCCCCTGCACTCTGATGTGTAGCTGCTCTGCCCCAGCAGCCCCGGGAGCCAGCAAATATGCTAGATCCTGCTTCCTTGCTCCAGCAGCTGCCGGGGAGGTGGGTGCACAGAGCCATCCTGGAAGGAAGGGGTGTTTGGGGACCACTCTGATGGAGTTTGCTGCTTTCTAAGCCTGGCTCTTTAAGAGGGGTGAGGAGTGGCTGCCTGGCAACCCCGGCTTGTCTAAGCAACAGCATGCTGACAGGCTGGCTCACCCAGCAACCAGGGCTAGGGGTGCTGAATCCATGGGGCTCTGTGCCCGGCCCCCCCGGGGTGCGCACCCGGGGCTCTCGGGCCCTGGCATGTCCCTTGCCTGCCTTGGGGTAAGATCCCAGGTGCCCTGACATCTCCCACCTGGCCGGGCCAGGGCCCGCCATGGATGGGGCTGCCGGGGGGCTCATTGCCTTTCAGACCCCCCGTTTCCCCAACCACTCCCCATTTCCAATTGGATATTTTTCTCAACAACCCCGCTGAACAGTGTTGCCGGGGCCATGGCCAGCTGCGGCGCTCCCCACCACAGGTGGCCCCAAGTCAGGCCCAAGTGGCAGAGGGGTGGAAAAAGAGGGAGCGGGTGTTTCGTGTCAGCACCTATTCCGCTCCCCCGGCCACGCCTTTGTGTCCTTCCCGTGTCCGCTCACCTCCTATTCCTCTGCGGCCCCCCCCAGGCTCCCCACTGACAGAGCCCAGCGCCCCGAGGCTGCGGCCAACCGTGCTGGGGGGCATGGTGGGAGGTAGGGACCCCAGATTCCTCTCCTCATGCCAGGCCTGGGGACCCCGGGTGCTGGAGCAAACTGGGGAGTTGGGATGTGGGGCCTTTGTGCTGTTGGGGGCGCTGGCTCTGATCCAGCCCCATGGAACAGGGTCTCGGGGGCCCCTGGTCACCTTCCCTGGTGTGAGCAGAATCTGGGACTTTCCAGGATCTGGATCAGGGCAGCCAGGCGCTGGCGTTGTGCAAGGCTGGTCGTTCCCAGACCCAGGGACAGGGGACAGCAGGCTGGGTGGGGGCTGGCAGAGAGGAGTGGATTGCGCAGGGGAGGGAGACACTCGGGCGCCTGGGTTCCCTTGGTGCTGTTGGCTCTGTTGTTCCAATGATCCCCTCCCCCCAGCAGGGACAAAGAGTTCCTGCAAAGTATGTCAAACATCCCGCCCGCCCGAGGCACGGAAAAGCAGCAACAGCCGTGGGGGGGGGGGGGGCGGGACCT